GACAAAGGGTGTTTGTGCACAAAAGTTTGTTAAAAAGAATTTTTCCAACTGTTTGAGTTGGTCTAATACAAGATACTGGATTTACCCAAAGAACTTGGTCTGCTTAGTTTAGAGCAGTGTTTCTTAATGTGGGACATTTTTCTAGGAGGAGAACTAAAGTCAAGTCATGAAGGTGTACAAGTCTTATAAATGATCGTTAGGCCTTTAACAACATATGGAAAAACCTATTAAGCTTGTATATGTGTGTGCCTGTTTCTGAAGAATTTTGGTGGAGGTTAACTTGCAGAAATTCTGGAGATGCTGTGTTTGGAAGGAGGTTTGGTGTAGTCTACATAGTCGGTGAAACCCAAGTTCTGTGCTGGCTGCTCTTGCAATCAGCTTGGATGCTACTGCTGCAGTCAGCTTGGATGTCTATGGTACCTCACAACCTCTCGTTAGTTGTAGTTCTTATCTATTTCATGAAGAGTTAAAAACTCATTCACCATGTTTTACAAATGAAAAAATGTTAAGTGACTGCCTCATGATCCTGTAGCAATTTTGATTGAACCTGGGTTTCTCATTTGACTCCTATAAAGTTAGAAGTTGGGGAACTTTCTCTCTCTTTTTGGGAGCTGTGGTGAGGCTGGTAATAGTATTCAAATTAATTTATTCAAATTAAAATGGGGCTTTTTCTTTAAAAGTTGATGGTGTCCCTTTCTGCTCAGTTTAACAACAGACTTTTCAATATACAACAAGAAACTGATCTTTGTAGAATATTTGAATAGAAGAGAACAGTGGAAACAATGTTTTCTTGTGTGTTTTTGTTTTTTTTTGGTGGGGGGGGTTTGTTTTGGGGGGGGGGTTTGGTTTTTTTGTTTGTTTTTACAACCCTTTGTCACAAATCTCTTTCAGCTTATTTTTTGTAAATGTTAACTGACTTGCCCATCCAAACTTTTTGAGGGAGTGAAAAATATAAAATCAGTTTATGCTATATTAAATAAAAAATGGGAAAGTGATGCAGTGTCCAAAGACAAGTGATATTATCTTAGTATTTTCTTGCTTCCAATCTGTCTGATCCCTTTTGCAGTTTTCTGAGAAAAAGGAATTTGAAAATTCATAGGTGTTAAACTTGAAACACTACTGTGACACCAAATAAAGTGGTGCTGTATTTTGGAATCATGAGAGCAGGGTTGGACTGGATCTTGTAAGGTCCTTATAAACCCTACTTTTCTAAAGCAGGATCATTCCTGTCTAAATTTATTCCAGAGAAGTGTTTATCATTTTTGTTTTGGTTTCCTTATTTCAAATTACTTTAGATTCCTGTTTTGTAAATCTCGGCTCTACATGTTTGAAGGCCAGTTTGTCTAAGTGTGTGCCTTGCACACAACACTGAACAACTTATAAGACTTTCTTTTTTTAAAAGAGCCGTTAACCAATCAGAAGCAAATGCTTTCAGCAAAGTTACAGTAAATCAGTATCCGTTTTAAGAAGTATAGGCTGGAGAATCTTCATATGCGCTCTTCTGACTAAAACTGCTTTTCACCTGAATCTAATGTGCTCCTTTCACCTTCCTCTTCATCTTCAAGCTCTCTTTACACTACTGTTACAAAAGCCAAGGTCTTGTGCCCTGTCTTTAATTGGGGCATTTTTTTATTGGGGTCTATGCATTTATCTTGTCCCTTATGGGGATAAAAGACGTTACACAGCAGTAACGTGTCTTCCTATTTTAACGGCAGATCTCCAGCTCTGGAGGGCATGGGGTGGAGTGTCCATCCTGTACTGAGTGAATTATAGCAGAAGGCAGAGCAGAACTGCACCTTACAAATTAATTCAGAGACATTTAGCGCTTTATAAAGTGAAATGCTAGCCTGCCTTCTGCCTGCCTAGAAAGTTAAAATGGCTAAAATTCCCATAATTAATAACTGGTCAGCAACAGTTTGATCATACAGAAGGAGCTTTCCTAATGTACTACTGTTGCTTTTAGCTTATTTGGATTGCAGTGCAGCCCCAAACGCACACTGAAATGGGAGTCCCTTTGTGCTAGAGATGCAAATCAAATTCCCTCGTGCCCCGCTTTTCCCCCAGTGCTCTCTAGTTTGGTATTTGTTTTCTTATTGGAAAGTGTTTGTTTGTTTGTTTGTTTGTTTGTTCATGGAAACAAAAACCCAAGCAAGGGCAGAGGGTGCTTACCTAAATATGGCTTCTCATTTCCTCCTGTTAGACTAAAGACTACTACTTTTTTTTCCTTCCCGAGAAAGACCCAATTCTCTACCCTGAGTGGGGAGTACAATTATGCCAAGCTCCAGTGGGACAGCTATTGAGTAACTGGTTTACATTGACGCAGGCTTCAGGGATATGGGGGCTATTTTAGTTTCAGCTTGCTGTGGTCCTTTCAGGAAGGAAGGGAAGCTCTGTTTACATTGTTCGTCTAACCTCTTTGCTTGAAGTTGTGGGGCTCAGGGCTTGGAGCTTTTTCTACCAACTTTATACCCGTGGAAAGCTACCTCTGATCTGGGTAAGACTCATGAAGGACCTTTTGTTGCCTTCCTTGTGGGCGTGCACAGATCAGAATGAGACAAAAAATGATTGCCCCAAGAATCTTCTGCAGCTTTGTGGGGGATAGTTAAGTGGGTGCTTTTTTTGTGTGTTTTTTGTTTACAGCAGGATCTTCAGTAATGAACAGCCACTGAGAGAAACAACACCTCTTTACTGTGTTATTGTTATTTCAGGGAAATCTGGAAGGAAGTTGACGCTGTCTGACATACCACTAGTTATCTTCTATTGTTTCCCTGTTGGTAGTTTACAGCTGGGGAAATGGACACAGGATTTGGTGATTTATCAAGGACTTGACTCCTTTAAAAGTGTAGGAGGTGCAAGCTTTGGAGTCATGGACTGTAATTCTTACCTTGCCCTGTGAGGTTTCTGTTTTTGGACAGATCATTCAAGGAGTTTTTCAAAAGCATGACTAGAGAGGCTGCCTAGCTTCCATTAACTTTCAGCGGGCTGAAGAGTTGTCATTTATGTCTTTTGAAAATCTCCTCCTTAAGACTAAAGAGGTTAAGTGCAAGTTGGAGGATGTTCTGCATACCTCCCTGCATGCCAGTTATAGTTAAAGGTTTCAAATGTTGTAAATGCAAATATAAGTTTGTGGCAGATGGAAATGACTGACCCCCAGGAACCTTGTTTGTGACTCTGTAGACCGGGGTGTGTGTGTGTGTGTTTGGGGCAGGGGGAGTGTGGCACTTGAAACCGGCCTGCTTTGCAGAACTCACAATATTTGATCAAGCTCTGTTCTCTTCTGCTTTCAATGCGGGTGATCCTTCATCCTCTTTTCCTTCTCCTAAGTTATTACTGCTGCTTCAGCATCTGCTTCAGTGATTCCTTATCTTTATCAGGGCTCCTGTGTATTTTCCCCTTGGGCTCTGGTCCTCCATCTACTTCTTTATTTCAATTGATTCCTGTATGGATGTCTTTGAAATCTGTCTCTGACAACTCTGTCCTATCTTGTTGCTGTCAGTTGAGTACCTCGTGTGTGCTCCTGATTTTTATCTTGCTGTCTCCAAAATTGACTTTTCCTTCTAATCTGTCTGCACCTATCCCTTTCTAGTATATCAGTTTCTTTATTCGCTGCTTTCCATACTACCTTCTTCAGCCTCACTATGAGTATTCTTGCCAAAAGTTTTTCTGCCTACGCATTAGTAGTCCTCATTTTTCTCTTCTCTCCATGCTCCCTTCGTCTCATATTCTTCATGCTGCCTTCTCCTGCATTGCCTGACAAACCCTTTTTGTTCTACTTAAAGACCCTTCTAGGAGTTTTTTATGGTATCTTGCTTTCAACTGTAAGCTGTTCTGTTCTGTTTTGCTTCTGTTTCATAAGATGTAAACTTTGTGGCAGGTAATAGGTCTTTTTCTCACTCTCTTTGTTTAAAGTGGGTGGTAAACTTATAGCTCTAGATCAGCTATATAATATCTTTCACTAAGGGGGGGCAGAATGATCCAGCTTGAGTCAGAGGCATGCAGGCAGAAGGACCCAGCTGCCACCACTACTGCTTCTTCTTGTCTCCCCACCTGCCCTGTGCTGGACCTTTGTGCTCTGGCAGCAGGGACTGAGCTCTCCCTCTACTGCAGCCCCTGGCAGCTTATTGTAGTGTGGCACAAGGACAGCTCCCCCCTTCCACAAGAGCCCAGGCAGCTAACTGCAGCATGGACCTGGGGAGTCGCTTGCCAATGAATGCCACCAAGTCAGGGTGTCCCTGGTCATAAGTTGCTCAGTATCAAAGATTCTCAAACCGTGTGTGGTGAGACTTTTTTTTTTTTTTAAAGGGTCATGCACAGTATTCCCACCTTTAGGTATGCAGATACCTGAAGGAGATTCTCAAGATTAAACCCAGAAATCCACGGTGTCAAAAACATTCTGACCTGTTGTGGCATTTCTCAGTTGTTTGCAACAGAAACACTGTGCTGTTGTTTTACCATAGTCAAAAAACAAGTGAAAGTTATGAGCTGGCATTTTCCAGTAGGGGTCTTCAGTCTAATGGGGTGTGCCTCAACTCTAAAAAGGTTGAGAACCACTGCTCTAGATGGTAATCGCAGAAAAAGTCTTCCTTGCATAGAGTTTTTTTATATCATATTGCTTTATGTTCTTTTAACTTGAAACATCATAAATCCTCCCTTTTAAAAGGCTGTAATTTATGCTGGATTTTAACAAATGCTTTACTTGTTAATGAGTTATTCATACAGACCAGGTTTCTGTGTAATACTTGCAGTGGTAATACTTGCAATGTAGCAGATGTCCTGGAGTAATCAACTAGACCTGTATCCTGGAGTAACTCACTAGACTAGACCTGTCTCCTGATTGGAATTGTATACGTGAACCACTCACACATGCATTGCAAATGAGAAGGTCAACATCTTCGTGAATTTCTACAGTCCCTTTACTTAATTTGATCCTGTAAACCAGCTGATGTATGAAAACATGCCTAATATGTTTTTAACCAAAATATCTGCTTTTTTTTCTACAGACAGAAATTGCCAAGAGATTGAATACGATTTGTGCACAAGTCATCCCATTTTTGTCTCAGGAAGTAAGTAAAACTGTTCAGCTGTTACAGTGCAATTATGTTGCTTCTCTGTTTGCAAATTAGCTAGTTTTAAGATGTTAATTTTATCACAATGCACAAGTGTGAGGAACATCTGTTAGAGCTGAAGTGTGCAACCCCCCTGCTAATTTGGTCTAACAGATCTTAGCTCAAACTGAAGAACTGGTGACAATAGCTCATCCTCAAATTAATTCTTGGGGGGAGGGCAGGGTGTGAATCTGTAAAATGACTATCGAAATAATGATTATTTGTTTTCATTCTTGATGATATACTATCCTTAACTTACTTAGCAGTCAGGTGTTACATTCAGTGAAATTAGAAAGTTTTATGTTAAAATCGGGTCTGATTTTTAAGTAAGTAACATACAATGTAGAGTAGTTAGCTTGCACAAAATGTTTAAGGGCATAAAACAATTTTCAGAAATACCTACAGGATTTTTTTGTTCCCAGTTGCCTACAGTCTGAAGCTTTGGAAGCTGCTTCTACTACATTTTGCAACCTATTTTAGATTAGACTTTCAAACACTGTTTATAGTTATTGAGTATATTTACAGCACACTGCCTATTTTGCCTCTTTTTGGGGGGGGGGGGTAATCATTGGCCAAAGGATATATGAGGTATAAAAATGATGCTGGTATCAATTAGAGGTGCACTGATATATCAGTCACATATCAGTTTGGCTGTAATAACAGGAAAATTAACATCATTGGCAATTGGGTTTTGTTGGCTGATTTATGTCACTGATAAATGCACATGGCCAGGTATGCAGCCTGGCAATTTGGAGAACAGGGGGAAGAGGTATGAGGGGTGCAGATTGAGGCCCCCACAGTGAGGGAGGGAGTGAGGCAGGGGTAGGGGCAGGGGCAGGTGCTGCCCAGTCAGGGTGTTGAATGTCAACCTGAGACCAGAAGTGGGACGGAGCTGTGGGTAGCTTGTCCAGGGAACATGGAGTAGGTGGAGGGCGGTGGCTACCTGCTGCTGTGCACACTTATGGGGGGCATGTGTTGTCATTCCCCCCCCCCCCCGGATTTGTGTGTAGAGTGAGTGCAGGTGGCTTGCTGTGGGTTCGAGGCCAGGGTCTGTGACAGCCTTTTGCCAGTGGGTAGGCTGGACTCAGGTCAGGCTTGGGAGGGATGGGCTTAGCTGCATGGGGCAGGTGGCAGCAGTGGTGGCACTGAGGGAGGCTTGGGAGGCTATAGCCACCCCTCCCAGTATTGCTGCAGCTCCAGCCCTCTGTGTTGGGAAGAGGCTGGTGCAGCCCCAAGTTTGCAGCAAGCAGCCTGCTCTCACCCCGTGTATAAGTCCGGTGGGACACGTGCCCCCCCCTCCCCTCCCATGCCTCTCTCAGGGGTTCATGCAGTGGTGGCAAGCCATGCCCTTCCCTGCACCCCCCGGACAAGGTGCCTGTGACTCCATCCCACTATCGGCCACGGTGTCACATACACTACCTTGTCTGGGCAGCGCCTGCCCCTGCCCCACTCCCTTCCTTACTGTGAGGTCCTCAATCTCCCTCCCCCATGCTCTTTCCCTCCCACACACTTACTGGTAGGATGCTGCTTTCCAAGCTGCCGGGCTCCATTCCTGTAAATTTGGTTATTGGATTGTTATCAGCTGATATGGCTGATTTAATAATTGGTATTGGCCAAGAAAATCTTAGTATCAACTTTAATTTGACTTTTCCAACGGAGTTGATAAACAATTCGTGGTTCAGTTATAAAAGACCATTTTAAAATATTGGATTATTGTCTTCAGGGCTCTTCGTTTACTTCTAAACAGTGAAATGAATGGATCAGGATCATGGGATTTAATCTTAACTGGCATAAAATACTTTTCCAGTGGATAACTTGGGCTTCTGTCTGGCTTTCCAGCCCTTGTTAAAGAGCTGTTTCTATAGACATTGTAATTGTTTTTTGGTCTGTGTTTTCATGTAGCCTTAAATGTTATAGCTGATTTGCTTATTAACACAGATATTCAATCTCTGTCTTTTTCTTTGAAGCATCAGCAACAAGTTGCCCAAGCGGTAGAACGTGCCAAACAAGTGACCATGGCTGAACTGAATGCCATCATCGGGGTACGTGGCCTTCCAGGTCTACCTCCTACAGTGTGTATAACCCGCTTTCATTTCTTACTGCTTTGGTAGTTTTAAAGTAAACTTGGGAATGTATTAATGTCTCTAATACTGTTTGGATATTAATATTGTTACTTAAACTTATTTGACTTAGGAACATTTTAGCTGGGGAGGTAGAATTAACATCAGCTTATTTTGTAACAGGATTATTTCTGTTGTTTTGGTGCACCTGTGATTTTTGTAGCAAAAAAGAATCTGTTATAAGAAAGAAAATTATGTTTTGGGTAGTTATTTTATTGATCATGAGCATTGTGTACCAGTTGAACTACTTACCTCTGCTTTCACCTCCTGCTCTTTCTGAAATTTAGGGTTTTGGAACTCGTACAACTATTCATTCTTCTTTTCTTTCCTTTCTTGTGTATCGTTCATGAATTTTAAAGTAGTAGCCTAATGAAAAGAAACTTCTCTTGCTTTTGAAACGGTATTAATGGTCAGACACAATGTTCTAATAGCCTTTCACCAAGTTTGTTCTTCTAAATATGCTGAAATCAGTTAATACTACTTGCTTGTGACTGGTTGTCAATCACAAGTCATTTGTTTTGCATTAATGAACTTTGTGAACCATGCATTCCTTCCGCTGCATGAGTTCATTTCCCCCGCCACTAAGTCTAGAATATTTCTCATGTTTTCTGCCCTTCCAGGCTAAGTGAAAGAAGTAGCCGAAACAAGAAGCCGTCCTTTCTGATTTTATTCATATGTGAGCGCCTTGAGCGGATTCAAATTACTCATTTATCAATTTATGTTAATTGCTTGTGAGAAGATGCCCTGCTGGTCTTTATAGTTCCCTCAGACACTTTGTAATGATAATTAGACATGCTGCTGTACGGATTAACAGTGCCATAGTCCAATGACGTCTACAGACAATGGAACCAGTTAATCCATCTGTGCTTAAAATTACATCCCAACTGGAGATGGAAAAAAAACATAAGAGCAAGGGAGGATTAAAAGAATGAGCCTCAGCTTGAAAACTCTCCTTTCATCAGTTTCTCAATTGCAGATCTGCAGTCGGTTTGCCTGTGGTAAGCTATTGGCAGTCAATTAGGTGAAATAAACTGGGAGGGTGACCTTCATTTCCTTTTAATAGCTTTTTCCTCCCTGAAATGGGGAGCTTCAGTGGATTTTCAGCTTAAATTTTATTCAAGCTGCTTTATTACACTTGACAGATTAGCTTTGCATAAACATACCCCCCTCTTCAAATCTGAGCCCTGTTTTTCCCTTAGTATCAAATTTTGACTGTTACTTAGTTGATTCACTAATCACATTTAAAAATTATGTCTGCATTCATTTACAGTCCTCTCTATGCTTTCCATGAGTAATGAATTGCTTTAGTTCAAAGATCAAATCAAATATTCATACAGTACACATGCATGTATGATATTTGATTAGCAAAGATTAGAGAACTGTGCTTTTTGCAGTTTAAAAGTGTGTGGCTTCTTTTGAGGACAGATTTAGTATGAAAAGCCCTTTCTCATTGGACTAAACTTGTTGGGAATTCTGCACAGTAAAAAGAAATCTTCTGACAAATCTCCTAGAGCAAAATTTGGGTTTCCATACTTGTTATGCCAATTTTATGCCGAGTAATACAAGAAGTCGGTTGCTTCTTTTGAAAATACTTTATTCAGTTTTTTGGATCTACAGCTACAGCTCACAATTAGGACTTCATTTGTTTGTTTTTTTGTGAGAAGGCCTCTTTGGAAGCAGGAAATGGTATGTTAGTCTTAAGACTAGAAAACTCTGGTTTTTTGTCATGTTTAAATTCCGAAGATCCTTAAGTACAAATGCTACCATGTGTTTTGTGAAAGACATCTCGACAATGTAATTTATAGTTAAAAAACTGGGAATGAGGGAACAAACATGTAAGTGGCACAGATGTACTTCAGTTTCAATACAGATGCTATGTTGCATACTCCTAAAATCAGATGCATGTCAGAGTGATCTTTTACAGTTTTAGATGATCAATAATTATCCTATGCTACACAGTAAGTTTCATGCTCTGACATATGCTTGATTTTGTTTGAAGGGGATTGTGTGCATCCTGGAAAATCAGAGTAGCATAAAATTGGGTTGACAATTCAGTGGACCTTTGCTCCCCTTCATTGAACATGCAGTGTGTCAACCTGTCTCCCCAGAGGGGAGGAGGCATCAGGAGCCTGTCTGTTCATACAAGCAGCAGCTGCACTGAAAGTAAGCATAGCTCAGTTTGATAGCAGCTGTCAGTATTGTTCAGGGCCCCGACTTAGTGTATAGGACAATAGAGAGGCCACGCTCTTAAATGGCAGTGTCTTTTAGGCTAAGAAAAGAAATAGTAATTTAACGGTGTAGACATCTATTATGAGTGTGAAAGATCTTGAAACTTCTTTTCAACATGCAAAAAAGGCCTAAGCATTCTCCAACAGCATACAGTTCAACAGAGTATTCTGTGGCTTCAGAGCACTAAAGATATTCTTGTACAATGAATTGGGGGGGATTGGGAAGGAAGTTAAATAATTTTCCTAGCATATGCTTGGTTAGATATTTGCTTTGGCTAGTTTAAAAAAAAAAATGCATGTTGGTGCTTCTGCTTGACCACTGGTTTCCCTTTCTCCAACACCTCCCCTCCTCTTTTGAATTGTTGTTCTCGGATACCAGGTGATTCAAGTTGTGTAATTCAGTGTTCTCTCTTAATAAGATTATTTAAAGAGACAGCAAGTTTGGTTCCAGTGGGCACAAGTCAATATGTGCATAAGAGAAGAGTGTCAATTACTCCATTTACAAACTTGTTTAAAACTGAAAATAATGTAACTTGTTCAGTCCAACCACTTAACAGGATATTCATGCCTTATATATTAGATAGAAACTAGTTTAATTTGGGGGTGGGGAGGAATTCAGTGATTGACAGGTATGTATACATATACTTAGAGACAGATGCATCATCTGCACTTTATTAATGATTATTGAAGTGTGTTTGAGTGTCTTACTCTTAGCCATTATGTAGCAATGTGAAATTACATGTTTGTTCCTTGGCACCACTGTTTTGGTACTTAAGACTTCAGGCCATGCCCATGTTTGGTGTAGGAGAAGATTCAGATCATGGCATGAAAAGATTAAGTGGATTAGC